AACTTCATTTTCACCCTTGACTATTGTATGACACGCACACATCAATGAAAACTAAACACATTTTTGCTATAAATTCAGTTAATTTTAGTTAGTTTTGTGAACACTCATTCCAGTTTTAGTTAGTTTTCCTTTTTTTGTTTTTATTTTTATTTCCGTTAACGAAAATGTTTTTTCACATCTAGTTTTCGTTATTTCGTTAGTTTTCATTAACGATGATAACCTTGGTTGGCTGTGATGCGTTTGCTGTCGATGCCGTGCTCGATGTTCCTCGATCTCTACGTAGTGACTGAAACAAAGAGGACTTGGTATAACTGAGTATCCTCTGTAGGGGGTCTGGACTCTCCCATAGGGACGGGGGAGGAGTTGAGTCACATGGGCGGGGCTCAGAGTGGAGCCGTGGAGGTGGTCTGGGCCTGTGGCGCCTCGTAGGTGAGATGCAGGCAACCCGACAGCTTTGGGCCAATCAGGAACCAGTTTTAGCACGAAGATGGCGGACGCGTCAGAGAAGAAACAGAAAAGAAAACTTCCCGACAGCTAAAACATTGACAAGTGTTACATTGTGACGTTCTTCTTAAATGGAAAAGTGTAAATAAGGCAGAGTGTTTTTATCGGAGCTGTTGCTTTAGGCAGACGTACAGATGTTGACAGCTGGAGGTGCTGCTCTGACCTCACAGCTGTTTCCTCCTGGTTTTGAGGGGAGACAGGCAGACGGTGTTTAGATAAAGGCCTCTCGCACTCTGCTAAAGGTCATCGATCAGCTCAGAGACACTTCAACCCCGACGCTCTTAATTAAGTCTGAGTGCGTCTTCCTGATGACCTTCAGACAGTAAATCACAGTGTTGCCTCCGGGCATGCTGGGATGCCTCTGAAAGGACCCGGAGAGGCGGACCGTGGAGCCTCACAGACCTCGTACGTCCAAGAAACAGAAGGAGACACTCATGACATTAAATGTATAAACATAAGTTATGTACCGGTTCCTCTCTCTGCAGCGCCCCCCAGTGTATGAAGTTAGGCCAAGTTAACACATGCAGACTTTCTATTTAATTAGAAAAGTGTCGTTTTTGTCGTTTTCTTTGAATAAAATCACTGACAGGTTTAAATATAAAGCTCGTCTCACAGACGTGATGGATTTCTATCACCGAGATGACCTGAGACCGTCAGACTGTGATGAATAGAGACTGAAGTGTAATCACTTACAGCAGATAAAAGCTCGGGATGAAAGGCGCTCGGACCAAAGCGTGGCGTGTAACGAACGAGCTTCAGGCACGACAGCGACGCTTCGTCAGGGACACGTCACCAAAAACACAGAGCAGCAGCGACACTAACGCAGAGAGAGGCGGAGCAAGAAACAAACATAAATCATCAGTAAATTTAATAATAATGATAAAAAAATGAAATCATGAAACACATAAAAGCACAAATGTAAAGATACAGAAGTGAATCTTTATACAAAGGTTATAAAAGACAAAACTGCCCAAAAATTAATATTTAAAACTCAAAGTAGAATTAATTTTTGAAGCTCTAAAATAACTTCACATGTGATCAAGTGACCACGAAGGTGCAGCTAACGCTAGCTAGCATGGTTAACGGTGATCCAGTGTACAGGTGCATCACTCGGGCGCAGAAACCTGAAGCTCTTCATGGACCGAGCGGCTTCCTGCCTGCTCACTGAACAAAACTACTGGGTGTGGATGTGATTAGTGAGCTGCTACTTGTGGGAAAACCACTAAAGGTACAGGGAACACCATCCACTGTCGGCTTTATCAGGAGAAGAGCAATCATGCTCCCAACGTGTTATATTATCACGCACGAATCATCCACAGTTAAAAGCTCTGAATCCCCCAAAACTGGACAAACAAACAGACTTTTTCACCTGTTAATAGAACAAACAGCAGCTTGTTCTGATTCAAAGCTGGTGAT